ACCGCCATCTTGAATTGGCCTTATTACCAATACGACCGCCATCTTGAATTGGCCTTATTACCAATACAACCGCCATCTTGAATTGGCCTTATTACCAATACGACCGCCATCTTGAATTGGCCTTATTACCAATACAACCGCCATCTTGAATTGGCCTTATTACCAATACGACCGCCATCTTGAATTGGCCTTATTACCAATACGACCTCCATCTTGAATTGGTCTTATTATTAACACGTCCGCCATCTTGAAAAACTATGGGATGCCCATGCCCATCATATGAAGAGTGAAAAAAAAGTTTGATTTTGAGAATATTTTGTTCAATTTTCTAAAGTGAAATGTCAAAAGTATATACATTAGATTTTTTTGCGCAATAATAATATTGAAAAATAATAATAATAACTTTATATGAAGAAGCTCTACTTTTCAGCCCTTGAACATTATTATCCTGCTAAAGAAGGAAAAGACATTATATTTTGTTTTCGTTTTTAAAGAAGATTTTAATAAAAAGCGCAAAAGACAAGAAGGCTCACTTGTGAAAAGGATTAAGCCGTTAATAGACTCCGAAAATACTGGATTATATTCCCTTTTAATTATATAAGGGTTCTCTATTTAATAGGTTTTTTTATTGAAAAGTTTATGAAAAAAGCAACCTTATAAGCCGAGCGCCACATCGTTCAATTCCAACCAATCGATCATTGCGTTGAAAATRATGAATTTATGTTTCCTTCGTTTAGCAGTTATCTTTTCCTTTAATTTGAACGCCGCCACCATTTACTGGCTTTCTGCTGTATAAATTATCATTAAATCTGTACATTTGCGGTTTCTTTTCATTGCAGGTTTTAGAGTCATTGTATTATGTGCTTTGAGGCGAAAAGTCGTTTTCAAAGTGTTCCCGTCGGCTGGTTTTACAAAGGATTTTCCGTTTATTGTTTTGCAGCAGGCGATGCATCGTAAAAGCGTAATTGTGGTTTTGTTTTGGGAATAAAAGCGATAACCAACTGATGCTAACGATATATCAATACAAACATGAATTGTGTAGATTTTATTTCCTWTACAATCAAAGCCGGATGTCACTTTTTCACATAGCGTGACAACATTACGTGACAAGCCATTTTAATGTCTAGCGAATTCATATTAAAACGATAGCGTCATAATAATAGTTAAGGCTAATAGAAGCTAATATTCCACAGCTAATAAGTCTATATTAGTAGGGATATTTTTAAAAACTGAACCATATCGTAGGCGTTATGTTGTAATGTGACGTCACGTCGTGTAGATAAGAGTTGTTTACCGGCTTCACACACACACATGCATTTCATTTAGTACAGAGAGCGGCTTGGATTTCATACGAAGCGTTTAATCGGCCTTTGCGGCCTCTAGAGGCATGCTCTTGCCTGACATAAAACCATGTGAAGCTCACCAAATCAGACATGAATTTGAAGCGGACCGTGTGGTTTACTAAACCTTTAGAAGAACGAGTTCTCCATGTCACCTTGTAATCGACATCCTCTTAACCCCCTTTTTCTAACCACAGATCGCTGGTCCTAACCATATCTACCGAGTTAGCAGTGGATTGCTGATTCCTAACAGAACGTCGTGTTATATCTTGGGCAATTGGTTGTACTCAAGTACCAGCACTTGGGGGTTTTGAGAAKCACGATGAGGATAGAGCCATCGATAGTTGTTTGGTGTATATGGTACATTTCGTATGTTGACTATTGTCAAGGATCAGATACCATACTAAGGGACTCTAAGAGACTCTCCACATTCAACAACTTTAAAGACAGTTTAACAAACACTTACGGAAGGTCATTACTCAGTGTACAAAGACGTAAGAAATACACGTACAATCTACGTAAGGTTATGCTACGTAATGCATTCAGAAGACGTGCTCTGTGCCTAGGTAAGTGTTGTTTTTASTGAAAGCTTGCACCGCAACTGTCAACTGTGAGTTCGCGTATTGTAATTCATCGTTGCTATAGACAGTAAATGCTACTGATATAAGCCCACTCATGGAGTTTAAAAGTATGATGTACAGTCRATCAATATATCTGTATTCTAGTGCTTACACTAAAGTGAATACTTGAAAAGGTACTTGATTTTGTGTGGTCAACGTGTTTTGGTCGTAAACTATACGCGCTGGCTACATCGTCTCGTACTTCTCGCTCATCTTAAATACTCACTAAAATTCACGTTAAATTCAATCAGCCCTCGGGCTATAAATTCAATTTATTAGAATTATTCCGTAGTGTTCCTTCTCAATTTAACTCACTTGAGGACTACGACAGTTCTAAAACGCTCTTCGAGAGGGCAAAACTGTATATCAAATCCATCGACTGTCATGGGTCAATTTCTCTCGAGTCGGTGATGGTATAATTTCGATGTTTCTTGTTATTTCCTATCGTTGACTATTTCCCCCCCACAGCCGGCTTTTCAAACACTCTCCTCGCTGAATGATTCATAGCCAATCGGCCAACATCAAAGTTATCTCGAAATCAGCCGGTCAAACCACTAGAAATAGTCTGAAAATGAAAGGAGTTTACAATTCAGAAAATTTGAAAACATCGAAAAAAAAACCCTAATCTGGTCTTTTTGATTTCTGTTTGCTTTTCTTAACGAAATTCTGGTTATTRCTTGTCTCAGAGACATTTATTGTTGAACAGTTCCGACAATTCCAACCGCATTTGTATTTGTTTAGATTCGGTTTGGTCGCTTCCCGCGTGTGCTCGCAATTCAAGAAAATATCTGTTTTACTTGCCGGCAAATGTTGGTATTACTTTTGATCTCCGTTTGACGCTAAGCTAAGGGACAAAGCTGCAAATTCTGAGTACAGAATATTCAAGGAACTTCTATCGGCTTACCGGCATCTCATTTGAATGGTACTTGGAGCGCTGGTTGGCGATGAAATCGATTGAGTGGTTTAAGCCAATCAGAGATCTAATTATCCAGTCGATATCGTATTTTTGGAACATTTAGGAAATCATTTATATTTTCTCAGTAGTTTTTGTCGCTAAAATCTAGAGATTACTCTAATGATATATTTTGTACCTTTGTCAATAAAGAGTTGATTGAAAATTATAAAATTACATTATTCCCATTCGATTCTCTTCCATTCGCTTTTCTTTTTCCCTGTATTCATTCCATTGTCTCGTTCTATTTCTTTATTCTTTTTCAGGCTCTTGTTTTGATTTATATTTTTTGGCGGTATCCATTGAATTTATCGTTAATTAAGACAAATCGTACTTAAATCCAAACAAAACCAAGAGCTTACTTTATCAGACGTTTTTAATATTTACCTCCCTTCGAACTCTTTTTTAATCTGAAAACCGTTTAGATAACACATTTACCTATTCCTCTCTTTTCTAACAAGAAATCTGATAAAAATTTATTTGGGTTATTTTGAATCCGTGGTCTTCAGCTAATGAATGGATTATATCTTGATGAAGTTTTTGACTCCTTCCCGGGTTTTTTTTCCTTGTGACTATTAAAAAGCTTTTTAAAATAGAACTCTTGGCTGCAATAGCTATCATATCTTTTGATCGCTAAGATTTATTGCTTTTCACGCGATTTCCTTTTATTCAAAGTTCTTATTTTTGAAGGAATAATGGAACAATTAAGCTGGAACTGTAATGTGATGTTTTTTGACGCCGGTATTTTATTGGTTCGCTAATTGCTGTTTTTCTTTCGATGTTTGGCTTTAATTGTATTCGTTTTCTGGTGGTATTTCATTTAAATTTGGTAGACGTAATGAATATTCTCATAGAAATTTCTTTCTCTGAGACCACGGTATTGTTCTTTTTGGCGTATTTTGACGTTTTTATGCATATTATCGATTCATTTTTTTTTTTCCATTCTTTTCTTCATTTTGTCCTATCAATTCATTTGACTTGTGTATATTTTCTTTCTTTTTTCATTCCCACTTAGCATTAGATTTCATATCAATTTTTCGTTTAAATTTATTCCATTTCATTTATTCAATTTTTAGGTTGATTAGAAATGTAGCGAGTCTCGATATTTTATTCTATTTTGGCGTCACTTGATATTTTTGTTTTTCATTTCCTTTCCCATTATATCCAGTTCAATCTACAGAATTATCGAGTTCTTATCAATATCGTTGAACTTGTGTGATTTCATATTCTTATACTATTATATTCTGCCGGCTTGTAAGGGAAATTTCCGGATTTTGTAAGCTCGACGCTGTTTTACATGCCCTGCAGAAGAATAAAAAAGGCGACGGAAAAAATACATTTAAAAATTAATTTATTAGAAAAATCAACATGTAAATTATAACCCCGAAATATGTGTCTGCCCGAAGGCGTTCCGGGGATAAGCCGAGACCGAAGCGAGATTTTACCGAAGGCAAAACAAASATTTTTGATTGCACTCCTACGTGACTGAAGTRAATTGTAAGCAAAATATTTCTTTGCCCAAAGGCGTTCCGGAGATTATACCGAAGCCGACTTTAGACTGTACCGTGGGCAAAGCAAACATTTTAATCGTATTCCCACTTAATAGCTCCGTGTCCGAAGGTYTTCCGAAGTTTAACCGACACGGACCGAAATTGTCCCGGAAGTATACTAAGGCTCATCGCAGACCGTCAACTAATTGATCGATGTCGAAGCTATTCCGAAGTTCTGACGAACTTTATATAGAAGGGAAAGAAAGTTATAGTGCTTAGAAGGAGGCAATTCCGGGAGAAAGACCCTTAGGAATAAATTTCGGAAAAATTCGGTCGTGGGTTCGAATCCCAGCGAGGACGGAAATTAATTTTTCCGAAATTTATTCCTAAGGGTCTTTCTCCCGGAATTGCCTCCTTCTAAGTACTATAACTTTCTTTCTTTCATTTCTATATCTGTTCTATCATAGTGTCATGCGGTGTCACAGGGATTTGTCGTATCCTGACGAACTTTAACCGAATGTTAACCAAATGTTTGTTTTCAGATGGCTCGCCCGCTGTGTTTTATTTAAGTCACAATCCKTTGTCAAGTAACTGGGTGATTCAACTCCAGGCAGGGGGATCTTGTAGTACACATAAAGATTGTCACGAGAGAGCAAAAGGACCTTATGGCTCGTCCAAAGACTATCAACTGTACATGACAGGGAAYTTTTTATCTTCCGATGACCCCAACGAAAATCCGACATTTGCTTCATGGAGTAAAGTATATGTGCCTTATTGCAGGTAAGATACAATGTCGTGGACGGCTTGCATATATGAAAGGTGTGGCCGTTTTCACCGGCGATTTTTGTGGTCAATTTTGTGGTCACTTTGATCTTAAGCGTRTAATGCTAAAGGATTAACTTGTTAACTTTTATTCAGTACACTGAGATAAAGCTAACTAAACATCTCCTTAGAAGGATTAGACAAAATCTATTGTTTAGGAAAATCGACCGAAGAATTGAGGCAAAAATCGCCAGTGTAAACGGACTTGATAGACCCTTTGTCAAAATGCTGCCTTTTTATTTTCTTAGTCTGCTTCTGTTTCTGCTTATGTTGAAAGATTATGAGTGTGAATTGGGACATCATAAGCAGAAGAACATGCTTCTGTCAAGTGTGAACAAGCTTCTGCTTCTGTTTCTGCTTCTGCTTCGGTTTCTGCTTATGTCAGAGTGTCAGCCGGCCCTAAGCCATTTGAAATTTGTACTTTTCCGACCACGGAGTGACCAATTTCCTCCCTCAAACATATGTCAAACAAAAGCTATTCAATGGTGGTATTGTATATTAGTTTAGGCGTGACAAGATCGAATTTAATGCAAATAAGGTGATGATAACAATTTGCACCAAGCACGTGTGACATTTAGTGTTTCAGTAGCCTGCGTGCAAACCGTTCTCTCATAAAGAATGGGCTGTAAGCAGGCAACGTTTCAGTGAAAATGACTTGACTCTCYTCCGTCGACCTGGTTGGATTGCAATCCAGTCACTATTAATTGAATCCCAACCAACCACAATACAGCGCGCGCTCGTGTTATTGTTTACATACGTTTAAATGCGTCAAGCATACAATAGATTTTAGTATAAACATAATAATGGTCTATCACTCATACTGCGCTATGATTGGCTACTCTACTAATGGTCTAATTTGTGATAGACCACTCGCGGGAAAATCAAAATAAATAAATTATATATTATATATTATTTTAAGGATATTTCAATTTGTTTTCATTATTTTACCGATTAGTATAGCCTAATGGGTTATTAGCTCGTAGTCAATTCGACCTCGAGGTCTAATTGTTGAATAGATTGATAGTACCTGTGAAGTACTTAGTTAGAGGTATTTCTGTTCAAACTGAAAGGATGGACGACGATTTGCGCTCACTTTAAGAAATCCTACGAATCCGCCTTTTTCATGTCCACCTAAAATGGTGCTTCGGCTCTCAAGATGCAGCGGTTGGTTATGATTCTTTCAAAGTAAACGTGACCATTTTTTGATGATTATTATATTTTATTCATATTTGTTGTAGTGGGGACGTGTTTGTTGGTCGTAAATCAAACGACACTCATCCTTACGGCCTACAAATGCTGGGACATTACATCATCCAAGCAATCGTACAGCAATTAATGGAAGATTACCAAATCAATTCGACTGGAAATATTGTAAGGATTATATGAAGCTTGCTTTATAAATCACACGGAACGGTTTTGAGTTTATTTGTGTCATTTGCGGCCCGTTTAAGACGTCGATTTTTAATCGAGTCTAATGTAATTGGTGGAGTTGAGTTTATGAGCATTTTGTAATCTGAATTTATTGACATTAGTAGATTTTGTTCAGTTGGACAAACTTACTATAATCAGTCTGTAAATATCAATCGATGTAGACTGCAAACTTCCCAAGAACTGCAAGTAAGCAATTAGATTAGACGCGGCAAAACATCGACGTCTGAACCGGTCTTATTCATCTATTCCTTTGTTCCCGTTACCGCAGCACCAATCCAGCAGTGTTTTGTGTTCTMCTAATTTTTTTAGTTGTGTGAAACGCCTTAGGGTTAATATGTGTTAAATCTAAATTATTTGTTTGCAAATTGAACCGCTATCTTTRATWATYGATATTTATTTCCGATTGTTGTTCTCTTTTGTAGATRTTATTYGGTGGCGCCTCTGCMGGTGGACTGGGTATGCTAGCGAACTTAGACTATATCCAGAAACTAGTCTCRCCAGCAATGGTAGGTAGTGCTTGTGTACCTTGTAAATGGCATTGTAATTTGGAGCAAAATGCAGCTATATTTAGATAACTAAATACTTTAACTAGTGTCCTTGTTGTCAAAGCACTTARCCAGTTGTTCGAAAAGTGATCAGCTCTATTTAATGGATAAATCCTTATATCCTTATCCAGCGAATAAAATCCATGCCAAATCTATGTAAATGATAACTCTATCCAGCCCTCCGTTCATACAACCGGTCCCCATCCGTTACGACGCTTTRCCAATTGGTCATTACCGTATTTRCTCGAATAAACGCCGCCCCCTAATAGACGCCTCCCTCAAATAGACGCCGCACTTAAAGCTCAAAATATTAATAGACGCCGCCCCCRAAWAGACGCCGCATCTGGGTGCGGCGTCAATTTGAGTAAATAATGATACCAGCAATGGAAATATATTTTTTCTTAGAACATTTTTTATTTCGRAGTGACTGTACTTGTTTGATCTCAGCAGCTGTTAGATTCCGACCACAAGGAGGACATTGATATTGAAATAGAAGTTTAACTCTGGTTAAAATCATAAATTGAATAGACAAAATGAACACGACATTTATATATTGAGATTCGTTACTGTTTGTTAGTAAAAAGATACAATATAAAGTACGGTATGTAGTACTGAATAAAGTSTCTTTTTAATAAACGCCGCCCCCGAATAGACGCCGCCCTCGAATAAACGCCGCARCTGGATCGTGMAAAATGAAATAAACGCCGCGGCGTCTATTCGAGTAAATACGGTAATTTATTTATTTGTTCATGTAATGATGTATTTATATATTATTTTCTCTGCACTGCTCTTTCATTTACGGCTATCTTTGTACATTCCAAGGTCCGTGGTTTYAATGACGGGGGATGGTTCACTCTTTATCCCAGCTTTGGTGAACAAATCGATCGAGGGACGCCGTATTTCTTCTCTGCTCTTGGGGTGGTAAGTATTTCAAAAACGCCACGCCTCATGAATAAAAACTGCAAAAGGAAAAAAATATGAAAGGTAAATGAGTAAACAGCATTATAGCTCTTACAGAAAAGATTGTAAGAGGAGAACGTTTTCGATCCCGCCTTCGCCATTCWCCCACACAACCTTTTCTGATCTGATAGCTATTTTTCTTGTTGCAGATGTTCACAGATCTTTGGGACGGGTTCGTGGATGAATCATGTCGAAGTGAAATGCCAAGAGCGGCAGCRTGTCTATATGGAGAATTAGGTAACACCAACAAATACATTAAACTTTCAAAACCGAACGAACTCCGAATATTCACAAATGGACGTGCAGGTTTTGTTGATGAATGTTTGGAATTCGGGCGGAGTTTGTTCGGAGTTTGTTCCTAGTCTCAGAAGGATAAGCTTCCAGGTTTCTTTTGTATGCTTGGAGTTATTCAGGAGTTCCGTCAGAGTCTCAGAAATGCATAGCATTTTAAAAACCGAACCAACTCCTGGACATTCAAAGATAGGATTCAAKGTTTCTGTTGAATGTTCGGAGTTCGGTCGGTGTTAGGTCGGTGTTAGGTCGTCGGAGYCACGKARASAGTTCGTGCAAGTTCCGTGGATATTTGATTKACGGAAGAAAAAAATWAACAGTATAAGTCAGCGTTCGAGTTCCCAGCCACTTCTCGTCGGCCATTTGACTTCAACGAGTGTTGAGAGTCGACTGTTTACTYATAACTCATCTGATATTCCATCGGCAGTAATTAAATACCTATCAACACCTATCTACGTCATGGTGGCRCAGTGGGACTCATATCAGCTTCGTGAGCTTGTACCATCCAAGTTTAGACCAGCTGTAAGGCTCCCCCCGGAACTTCCAAGCGAAGCGGAATATTTAGCTCGATTTGGAAACAATACTCATCGATCCCTAAGAAGAGTGAGTCTATATTAATTGACCTTTATATTACGGACACCTCTATRTTAAGGGCACCTCTATATTACGAACATGCACCTCTATATTACGAACACCTCTATATTAAGAACACTTCTATAACGGACACCATGTAGGTACAAATTGGCGAAGAAATCGATTTTGTATGGTTTCACCCATCGTATCATCAGCCCCTGTAAATTAGCGACATTTCTATATTACGAACACCTCTATATTACAGACTCCTCTATATTACGGACACCTCTATATTACAGACACCTCTATATTACAGACATCTCTATACTACAGACACCTATATTACGAACACCTCTATATTACGGACACCTCTATGTTACGAACACCTCTATATTACAGACACCTCTATGTTACGAACACCTCTATATTACAGACACCTCTATGTTACGAACACCTCTATATTACGGACACCTCTATACTACAGACACCTATATTACGAACACCTATATATTACGGACACCTCTATGTTACGAACACCTCTGTACTATGGACAACTCTATATTATGAACACAACTATAATTAAAATGTTTTCCAATTGCTTCAGTTGATTCTCAGCAAAGTGTCTGGCGTCTTCTCCCCTGCCTGTTTCATGCACACATTCTTCGGGGAAAGCAAAGATTTACCAGTCACATCGAAATACCAAATAAAAGGTAAAGTCTTTACTGGTCTTCATTTCTCATTCCTTTTCTTCCATTTCCATTTCTCATTTCTTCTCTGTGCTTGAAAATAATTCTCTTTTAGTTAACTTCCTTTATGCTGGTTTTCACATRGCGATACTGAAGCATTAGAATCATCGACCGAATAAAGATGGGACTGTTTTCACTCGCGCATAAGCATAGCCATAAGCATAATGAACGGACATTTCTTGCGCTTATTCCTATGCTTATGTCAAGAGAAATTTTTTTATGCTTGTTCCTGCGTTCCACACTTTTTATAAGGATGYTTGTCGCTATGCTTGGCTTATGTCCTGTGAACACCAGCCTTTACTTATTTTATCTCATTTTGTCACWACTATCTCGGCTTTAATTGCAATCATTGTGGGTATAACTTCGTTTATGTTTGAATAAATATGAAATATTTCTTGTTTYCATACCCACCAAGATGAGTAAATAAATCTCCTTCTATCTCTTAAAGGAAGAACAGCTTAYAAAGCTCTCTCGGAATGGCAYGTTACSGAAGGWGCCGAGGGAACCTACGTCGAGCTTCCTTCAGAAACACCRCTRTGCAATCCTTCGTGCTGTTCACAACTTTGTACAAAATGCCGCGAGCACCAAGTTATCAAAACTAAATCACTGAATCGACCGCGAGATACCAAYTCAAACAGAGGTAAGAAAACAGCGTTGACGACTCGATCAAACTCTGTGTTATTAAGCACGGTCGTTATAATAACATCTAGCTTCACGATAATGATTATGGTTATGTGATGGTTATGATGAATACAATGATTTTACCGCATTTGTGTAAATTCTTGCGCGCTGATTGGCTGTTATGAGTGTGTCAATAAGAGGGCATGCGCACTGTGCTGACACCATCACGTCTCGTGCGCTCAATTGAAAGAAAAGAATGATTTTCGCTGGTAAAAAAAACAAATTGAACACGGTTTTTCGCTGCGCTCGTAGGTCCACTTGATTTTTTAACATTTTATGACGTCATAAGAGGACATATAAGTCAAAACCATGCGCACTTTGCTAATGATGATGATTACGATTGTGATGATGATAATGATGATGATGATAGTGATGACCATGTTGATGTTGATGATGATGATGATGATGATAGTGATGATCATGTTGATGATGATGATGATGATGATGATAGTGATGATCATGTTGATGATGATGATGATGATGATGATTGTGATGATGATAATGATGATGATAGTGATGATCATTTTGATGATGATGATGATTGTGATGATGATGATAGTGATGACCATGTTGATGATGATGATAATGAGACTCGGCAATTTGGCTAACTTGACAAATACATCCTCACCCAGCTTTCATTCTTCATTTCTCAGGCTCTTCGGATATGATAGCTTCAATCCACAGTATTTGGATTATCGTGTGGTGTTACATACTTCACACAGTACTCTGATATTACCATATCAAGTGAGTGCTTGCCAGAGCTATTCCAAGACCTCTCTCCCTGACCCATTCCCGCCAAGAAAATGTCAGAAACTGCAGTAACGACACATACAGAAAACGTCATATAMCGACATCTTCTGCTATAACAACAACACAAGTCTGCTTTACCAACTTATCTTTGACGACCGCCATCTTGAAGTCCATTTGACCACTAATAACTGGATATCTTAAGAGCATATGATTTATGAAGTGTACAACATTAAGGAAACCATGTGATAACAGTATAATATCCGTTCAAAGTCTGCTGTAAACAACAACYCCTTTGGCAAGACACAYACGTACGACCGCCATCTTAAATCCATCATAAAGAAGGCCTCTGGGAAATTTATAAAGTGTACGGCTTTGTGATTCAACTCGCTTTTACGGACGTTTTGAAGCAGTAGTATGAAGATTTCTAACCACAGATATGACATTCTGTTACGATTGTTCCGTGACTCGTGACCACCCCCCACAATGTCAGTCCGAAGCAATGGGACGAAGTTTCAAGAAGTATTTCTATAGTCATCCTAACTCAACGTAAACCTGACACGACTAATAAGGAAAAATAACTTACGTACTATAGAAGGAATGAATATCAGGATTCTCGCGACATTTCTGTAAATATTAAAATGAAAATTTATTATGTTCGTCACTTGAGAGCAACGACGTTGGACTGAGAAGAGAATTATGCCTTAGCTGGATTATGAAATACAAATGGACAATATAAAGGCTGTTTCTTTGTGTACCTAGACCTACATATATCACATGCAACATTTCCAGTCAAGTCGTTTGAGAAGTGGTAACGAAAAAAAATCACATTTGGAGCGAACGGTTACCATGTATATGTTCAAGATTTTTGACACCTCAGGGACCTAATCAACAACATTATATGCGATACTCCAAAGCCTGATTAATTAAAAGAAACAATTTATCTTTGTAAATAGCTGAGCGAGGGGAAATTCAGTCCCCACCATCGAATATATTGAAATACATTTTTATACAAAATGCATAAAAACACAATACATAGCATTTATTGCAATGAAATAAATTAACGAAAGAACTCTGCTTGCTATTAATTTCTTTGTTATAATCACATGAACACTTAATGTTA